CCAGGGAAGACTTGGTACAGATATGACTCAGGTGTGGCTTCTTTCTCTACTGCTGCATCTGTGGTGGGGCTCCTCTCTCTCTCTTTCCTTCTCTCTCTCTTTCTTTTTTTTTCTCTTTCTTTCTTTCTTTCTTTCTTTCTTTCTTTCTTTTTTTTTTTTTCTTCTTTCTTTCTTTCTTTTTCTTTTCTTTCTTTCTTTTCTTTTTTTCCTTGCTTGCTTTCCTGCTCTTTCCTTCCTTCTTTCCTCCCTTCCTCCTTCCCTTCCTCCCTTCCTCCTCTCCTCCTCCTTTTTTAACAGTTGAGGTGAAATTCACATAACATAAAATTAACCATTTAAAGGTGAGCAATTCATTGGTATTTAGTATGTTCATAATGTTGTGCAACCATCATCTGTATCTAGTTTTGAAATATGTTCATTGCCCTCAAAGAAAACCCCATACCCATTAAGCAGTTACTCTCCATTCTGCACTCCTCCCACATGGACAACCATCTTCCTGTTTTCTGTCTCTGTGTACTCAGTTATTCTGGATATTTCATATAAGTGGAATCACACAATGTGTGACCCGTTGAAGCTAGTGTTCTTCACTTAGCATATTGTTCAAGAGTTATCCAGGTTGTAGCCTGTCTCAGTACTTCATTAAAAAAAATAGTTGAATAATCTTCCATTGTATATATATATACTACAACTGGTTTATCCATCCATTCATTAACAGATGTTTGAGTACTATTTTCTTCTTAAAGAATGTAAGTCAAATGATAGAACTCCTCTACTCAAAATTTCCATATAACACAGAGTAAAAGCTGAAGTCCTACCAATAGCCTAAAAGCCTCTGCACGATCTCCATCCATTTCTCCCCTGACCTGACATCCTCCCATCCCCCGCCATCCTCTAGAATGCCCACACAATCTTTCTAACTACAGCGAACCTGCTGGGCATGCTGTTTCCCTAAGCCTATTGCAGTGACAGTTGCTTTTGGCTGAAACAGGTAACTCCATTGCTCGCTCCCTTACTCCATTTGTGATGTTGCTTGAATGTTCCCTTTGCATTGAGGCCTTGTGTGAGCATCCTACTTACAATCGTCTCCTATCTCAGCACCTCCACCGCCCTTACTCTACTCTATTTTTTTCAAAACATCTATTATTTTCCGACTGTCCATAATGTACTTGTAAGGCATATAACGTACATATATTATGTTTATTTATTGTCTGCCTCTTCCTCCCCCTACCTCCACTAGAATGTTTTATGAAATTAAGAATTTTGTGTGTTTTGTTTATTAATGCATCCTCGGCCCTAGTACAGCCTGGAAGGTAATGAATACTCAATACGTATTTGATGAATGGTTGTGTTGATGACAAGTGCAAACCTGCGGAGTACAAGTCACCTAGCCGAGGGCCACACAGACCAAGGCTCTCAGGAAATGTTCATGTGCTTCTCCCCTTCATACTCCTCCACTAATCCAGCTTCCATGTCTCCTTTCCTTCCTCTCCAGTCCATTTACAACACTCCTCATTCCTTCTCTAACCTCTTCTCATCACGATGGTAAACAGGTTTATCGTCCTGTTGATTACCAGGTTTACCATTGTCCAGTGTAGTGGGGCCTATCTTTTCTGGAGAGACAAAAGCATAGTATCATTACATCAAACATATTTATCTATCTATCTATAACTGTTTCTTATCTATCCTCTGGCTCTGTTCTGGAAAGAATATATTTAATTTCAGTTTTTGAAGTATGATTATAGAAAAAGAGATCCATGTACTTCTTATGCACAGCTGCATTGATTTTAGAATTTAGGATCCTAAGAAATTATGCCAATCACCGAGATCATTAAATAACGTATTTCAACCAATGTAAGATGTTGTACATTGGAAATTGCACCACTACTTTGTTTACCACTATAAAGGAAAAAGTGCTACTGATTAAACTACAATGCAATTCTTTCTTAAGATTTAACACTTAGTATTCACTTTTCAAGTAAATATGTAATTTTGGTCATTTCTCCAAAAACAAATATTTACTTTTCTAATATCAAATTTGTGCCCCACTGCTATTCTGTGTCTTTCTATGAACATATTAACATTTGTTTTAATTCAGAATCATAATCTTTCTGAAGATCTTTTAAGTAGCAATTAAACACCTGTTGTAACAACCAGGCTCATAGTTCAAGTGAAGTGATGTCATCATTAGTGGTCGTGATCAAGTTCAGACTGCACAGGCAGGGATGACTGTGGATTAAAATGCACACTGTCATTTAAGAGACATTAAAATGTAAAAAAAAATGTGTTTCAGTGTCAATTAAGTAAGTTAGTAATTTAGGAATTCAATTAGTTGTTTTCTCCCCGTAGAAGGAAAGCAGATAAAAAGCAGTGTCACTGAAGACTTGAAGTGAGCTGTGATTCTTCACAGGAGTTGGTGAGCCGATTTTGTTCAGGTGCTATGCTGGGCCATCAGAGAGAGCAGCTGGCATTCATTCTTTTGGGTGGGAGAAGGCTTAAATTTTAAGGAAAATGACCACCATGCTGGCATTTGGAAATTGGGGCAGTCAATTATGTTTTTGGGCAGATCAGTTGTTTGAATGTTCTCCTGTACATCACATAAGAATGGCCTCCCTAAAATATCCACTTAATGGTCCAAGTTCATCCTTTGGATGTGTGGGATTAATTAAATTTCTCGTGCCTATGTATTTTTTGGACCTATTGTCAGATCGTTGCATTTCCTTCACTTTTCTCACTTTCTTCAACCATTTCTGAAAGCTCCTGAAGGCTCATGATGAACTTTAACATTATTCAGAGTATTACACATGCATTTATTATTTATTATTCCATAAATAATAAATCAGTAGCCACCACTTCCAGAGTGCCTCTACGGCTGTCATTGTGCTAGACATTCTATTTATATTACTGCATTGTAACATACTCTATTGCTCATGACAACCCTCTGAAGTATTGTAACTGCTCCATTTTAATGAAGACAAAAATGGAAGCTTAGAGAGGACTAATAACTTTTTCAAGGCCATACAGAATCAGAGTGAATCAATTTCAAAACCCAATCTCTTTGTAATTAATAGCAAGTTTCATACCTTCTGTATAAGATATTCATGAAAGTGATATAATAAATACATATTCAGTGAAGCAGAAACTATCTTTTAAATTGGGGCTTTTAGAATATTATGCATTTATTCTAATGGCTCTTCTGTTATTTAGGACACTTTAGGGACTCCTCTTTGGAACTCTCTTCAGGACTCATGTTTTGAACATCCTTTTTAGTAGGCACTATCTATCCTTTGAGGTCAGATTTTCCTGCTTATCCAAGGACCCTAATGAGGCAGTTTTGCTGACTAAAATGGAAGAGGACTATGATCCAATGGGTGATACGATCATTCATAAAGAAATGGCCACAGTTTCCTTGAGTTGGCTGTAAACCAAAGCAGAGGCATTCTAGGAATATATGTGGATTTTCCTTTTGTAATGATGATTTGAAGGTTATAAGATACTTATGGAAATGCAACTACTAGAAGTTAAAAATCAGCCAGAACCCACATCAACTTAATTAATCAATATTAGCCACTCGAGTTATCAATATTAGCCACAGGTTTTGTTGGTACACACCAGGGATCTCAAATTGGCTGCTCAAGGTAGTATATGGCTCTGGGAAGTATTTTGTGTCATCCTTTTACTGCACCCACAGAGTGTGTTAATAGGCTATGTAATTAGGCAGATTTTAGGATTGGTGACAATATATGCATATTAGCCACAATTGTCCTGTATCTACCCACAAATTGTCCTGTATCTACCCACCCAGCGTGTGTGTATTAATCCTGTGCCCTCTAAGGGCATTTGAGCTTTTGATCCCTCCATGTTCACACCGTTTCTTTCCAAAGGAACTCTGAATACTAGGCATTCCTCTGCTTAAAAAAAAAAAAAAAATCCCTTTGTGTATTTCATGTCCTTGTTCAAACACCCTTTCAGCCACTCCCAACTGCAACTGCTTCTTTCTTTTTCTGAATTTCATAAAATTTCAGTGAACTTCACTTGGCACTCCCAATCAGCTGACTTCGGTTACAGTTTTTTTGTGAATAGTTCTCCTCTCAATTGACAGGGCGTGTCTCTACCAGCAATCTTGCTCTTGGGGAAATGGGGCTTGGGTTCTTCCAAGAGATCCATTCAGTTTTTGAAACAGCAGAAAACAGTCCAAGCATTTTTCTTATTTCCCCATTTTCTTCTTCCTTTTTTTGAAAGCCCTGCTTGCTTTGATTTGGAATCTAGTCTTGGGTTCTGATGCTTGCTATTGACTAACTAGTTTCGAAGACTCTCTTAACTCAAAACTGGATTTCTAGCGTTGACTTATCTCTGGTACCACATTAACTCTATTCATTCTAGGCTTTGATGACCTACCTCTGCTTCTTGGAATATGACTCTGGGCTGCCCTCCCCTTATGTTGGGGCTGCTACCCAAAATGAGCCATACTTACTGCCTAGGAAGAACTGGGACAGAACTGAAGACGGGAGTCCGTGGAGAATCCACTGTGGTGGCTCCCCCATACCCAGCACTGGTTTTTGTATAGGCAGGTCTTTAATAAAAACATGTGAATGGAAGAAAATTTAAAAACAAAGCAGTTATGGTAGCATCTCACAATGTGACAAAAGTATTTACTCAATTAATAATGGATGCACTTCTTCTCTAGATGAGGTGTCGTGGTAGATGCTGGATTCAAAGGTAAAAATATTTGGTCTCTTTCTTCAAGAAATTTGCACTCTTCTGGCATTTGAGGGTTACAAGGAAAGTCTGAGTGGTAAATTTGGACAGAAAAGACAGATAACTCACGACATTGTGAACCTTAGTCCTAGGCCCAGTTCCAAACAAATCTGGAGTATATTAAGAGGGGTTACTGTTTCTGCACTGGAAACGTTCTCGCTGCTAGCCGTGGAATAATGGAAGAGGACGGGCTGGGTGAAGGGTGCGGCAAGGGATAAACACAAAACCCATCTGAGTCATGAGCAGGGTTCCTGGGGCTGCCCATTTCCACCTCCTTGTTAAATTTTTCTGGGATTCTGGTTAGAAAAGGAGATTTTTCACATGGGGTTAAAAAATTATGACACAGCCCCCTGGAAATTATACTTTTTAATTGGCTTGACGTGGCTTTTAAAATAATGCAAGCCGCTGTGACAGGCAACTGAAGTTCTGATTTTTTTTGGAAATGAGAACCCAGTCTTACCAGTAAGCCTGAGCTTTTAAATCATGTCAGTTGATGGTATGATCAGCGTTTTTTGATTATGAAGCAAGCTCTAAAGAATAATAAAAAAAAAAAATAGAACAACCAAAGTGATCTTCCTCTATACAAACTGTAAATTATCTTTCACAGCACCTCATTGGACTGGTGGCTTTGAGGGCTATGTTAAGTAGGTTATCCTCTCATCTAACCAGCACTAGTATCGCTTGGGCCGCTGTGAGTGACACACGCTTAGTGGAGTGAAGGGAAATGCTGGTGAATTGCATTTTGAGGTGTGGGCTGCTGTTAGTCACTCTGTCTCTTGCCATTGCCAAGCACAGGCAATCTTCCTTCAGCAAAAGTTGTTACCCAAGGGGGACACTGTCCCAAGCTGTTGACGCTCTCTATATCAAAGCAGCATGGCTCAAAGCAACGATTCCAGTAAGTATTAGGCTCTACTTAAAATGATGACCTCAAGGACATTTACAGTCTTGGATACAACTTATTTCTTTTTGTTTTATTGTAGGAAGACCGCATTAAAAATATACGATTATTAAAAAAGAACACAAAAAAGCAATTTATGGTAAGCCAGAAAGTCTTTTTCTTTTTTAACATTTCCACTTATTTGATGTTTATTTCTCCCTGCATTTTAGCTTTTTTCAGAGAGTAACTAAGTAATGATCAGGGGGACATTAAAAAAAGATTCATAATTTACCATATGCAATTTCTTGTATCTTATTTGTAGAAAAACTGCCAATTTCAAGAACAGCTTCTGTCCTTCTTCATGGAAGACGTTTTTGGTCAACTCCAGTTGCAAGATTGCAAGAAAATACACTTTGTGGAAGACTTTCATAGCCTTAGGCAGAAATTGAGCCATTGTGTAAGTATACACAAGAAATAGCGTGCATTTGATCCTAAAAACCTATTTAGAAGTCAGCATGTAAGAAGCTATCTACACACCAAAGGGTGAGTAAAAGGAGCTTTGCAACTGTTGGCTTGTAGTTCAAATGGAGAGGTCATCACCAGGGAAATAGCATCAAATAACTGTGCATCACTCAGAATGCTGTTATTTATTATTTCTTAAAGAATGGCTCATAAAGCACACTGAAGAGAGCTAAAGTAACATGAAATGGTTTTCAAATAAGTACTTTAAAATCATTTTCTCATTATGTGATTCTCGAGTAATTCATTCATCCATTTAATATTTCCTGAGTACCAACTTTGTGCGGAACACTATTCTAGTATCTTTCTCTCCTTTCCTTCCTTCTTTCCTTCCTCCTTTCCTTCCTTCCTTCCTCTCTCCCCCCATCTCTCTCTCCCTCCTTCCTCTTTTCTTTTCCTTTCTTTCTTTTTCTTTCTTTCTCTCTCTTTCCTTTTGTTCCATAATAATGAGAACTTTCTGATGTCCTTTTTCTTATTTACTTACCTTTAAAAAAACAGTTGTGCCCTTTTTAAGGCATAATCTCAGTAAACACTTAAAAAGGGATAGACATGCCTTCTTTGGTACCTGAATTATTTGATGCCCCAGTATGGTCACTGTCATAGCAAACAATGGAGAATTAATTAAGAAGGTAAAGGTGATCACATTTCCACGAAAACTTTCACAGTATTAATGACCAATGCAGAAAACAAACAAAACAAAACAAAAAACACTGAGCAGGAATCTGTGCAATGTTGAGTTGCCTCTATAGGGAGTGTTGAAGCTTTTCTGTGCACTTGGTTGGGGTCCAAGTGTGCTTTCTCTAGCCTCCTGCAGTTGTAGCTTGCAGGTGGTACAAAGGTGGTGTGGGGAGCCTTATTGCAATCCTTGGGAAGCCAGTTGGAAAGGAGCTCTCCGTCCTGGGCATCATCGTCACTGAGACTTAAACACTGGGCCATCAGAGACAGGTGTTTAGTTTTTAAGAGTTAGGATGTGTTTTTTCTTGTGGTCAACTAAAGTGCTCAGTAACCCAAATTTCAGCCCCAGGGTACCTGAGGAATTTTATGAATGTCAGCTTATCAGTTAGGTTAAAGGCAAAGCAAAGCAAAGCAAAACAAATAAACAAACAAAAAACCAAAGCCAACAAATTTAAGTTCTGTATTTCTTTGGTTAGTTTGTGTTTGTCATATACTTATTTAGGTTTGGATTGCATGTTTTTTCATAAACTCTCATATTTTATTAAATTCACAACAATGATAAAAAATTACAAACTGATACCTCTTTTCAAAACACAGGGAGAATTCTCTGGGCCAGTTCCCTTGCCTGAAATTTTGTTCTATACTTAACTTATAAGATTACCTTATGAAGACAGTACATATGTAGCTATAAATAGTCTCATAAATATAAGTTGCATTGTTAAATCCTTGCCTGATACAGTACAGCGTGTCTGGTTACCCAGAACCCCCAAATCCATGTCAGGTTTTTACCACTAATTTGGTTTTGTTAGCCCAAATAGCTAGAGAACACATAGCAACAGTTATAACCTAAAACGAGCAATAGTCTAGATGAAAAGCTTAGGAAACCTAGATATGTCTAGGAACTCTGGTTTTTCTTGGTTTGTTTCTGGGGAAGCTTTTTCCTAAAGGGCCCCCAAAGTGGGTGGGACAGTGTGGTGCTGCTCCGGTTGGTTGCTGCTGCTTACCAAAGTGTCTGGCTCCCTCCTGTGGCCCAATACAAACACATCATCTGATTAATCTCCTCGTGCAACCCAGAACTGCACGCTTTCCTTCTTCCCTCCTCCCACTGCCAGCCTATCAGTGTCAGCATAAGTTAATTTATTTCACGAGCTGTGAAGTTTATGCCCTGGGGTAAAGCAGGCTCCCCTGTAAAATATAAAGCAATGGGATTGGCCCGAGCGTTAGAAAGACTCTGCAGACATTGGTTTAGGGGAAAAGGTAACTGGCCTGGTGTCTAATCTGTCAGCCAAACATAATTATATATTTCTAGCAACAGAAGCTGGTATCTGTCTGTTTAATACAAATTAACTGAGCATCTACTCTATAAAGTTCTGAATTAGTGGTTGGGAGAGGGTTTAGCAGACAGAAGTTATAAAACATGAAGTAAACATTAATTTAAATATATATTTTTAATTAAAAATGGACACTAAATGTAATTAATGTATAAATGGCCAACCTATAGAAACTAATTATACTTGCTGTATTTCCCGTGCTGTCCATACTACTAAGGTTGTTGTGGGAAAAATAAGTAAAACAAAGCTCTGGGGATTCAGAGCAGGAGTGGCCAAGTCCCTTCTTGAAAAGAGGGACTGTGAGAGGGGGCCTTCAGTTGTGCAGGCTCCAAGCTTTAGCAAGTTTTCTGCAGAACCTTGACAATATTTCAAAACTGGTCCAAGGCTGCTTCCACAATCCCGAGACAGGAGGAAATAGCCCACTCTCTGTTTCCAGGAGGTGGTACTCTGGGATAATGCTTAGGTTGTATGATGCTATATGCCAAGTAGGATTTTGAGGGGTTGATTGAACAATGATTGCTGCATTGGTAGTGCTGCTCTGGAGTTAATGCTGTCTGTGTTCTGAACAGCTGATTTACACACAGAATTTTGGCACACAGCCTACTTGCTTAATGTGTGCACTTAATATTTGAAATTATGCCAACAATAAAACATTGGTGTGTGTTCTTCTGAAATTTCCCCCCAAAACTTGGAAATAATTTTTAAAAAGCAAAACATATGATATTGATTGCATTAAATCATTCGAAGAATCCAGTAAGTATTTATTTTGTATCTTAATACATTAAAGGTAATAGTAAGGATTACTACAGCTCTTTATAAATTGTTAGTTTGTGAATGGGATTTTTAAGTGCTCCTATCTGTGTACATGTTTTATTTCTGTTGACAATTTAATGGATACCAGAGTTGTTAAAAGATGCTTACTCTGCTTAAGTTGCAAAGACATTTTAATTTGTGGTGGTAACTTTTTTTTCAGATAGTGATATTTTACCAAATAGGTTGTGACTCTGGTTGGATTTGTTGATTATGTGCTGAATTAGGTGAAAATTTTCACATATCGATAGCAAAGTACTCAATTCTTCCTTTAAAATTTACAGTAGCCTTCCCTGGTGGGTTTAATAGGAACATTTGGGTTGGGGAAATATTGCAATTCCAATGATGAAATATTTATGTACTATATTACCAAATCTCATTACCTTGGAATATAACCTGGATTATATCTGAGTTATCTTTGGTGGGTGTTGTTTTGTATCACCAGAAAGAAAAACTTAAAGATGAATTCTAGTATAACCCGGAATTAGATACTGGATTACATGTTGCCAGCTGTTTTACTTGCAGTTGCCTTACATGGAGCTTTATGATTTCTGGCTACAGATAATATTACTCTTTTGACGTTCATATCATCAGCCCACTATTGAACAGTTTTAGGTTTTAGATAGTTCAAAATTCAGATGTAAAAGTAAAATGCCCATGGTGAGTAACAGTCCTATACACCTCTCTTCCATTTATTCTTTTTTATTCCTGTTTATAGGCAACATTGTGTCACTCATTACTATTTGATAAAGGCAATGGAATAAGTAATTACCATACCATTTGATATGGTAAAGGCAATGGAATAAGTAATTTGATAAAGGCAATGGAATAAGTAATTACCACATTTTGAGGGCATGGATTTGCACTTGATGGGTATTTATTAAATGGCTGAGACCACGTGGTTTCCTTTCTTCATTCCTTTCTTTTTCCTCCCACCCCCATCCTCCTTTCCTTTAATATACTTAAAAAACAGTCCATGAGCCTGCTCCAGAACAATTGCCAAATGATGAATTTGTCAATAACCAAGTTGTTGGATTATTTTTTTCTTTTATTTATTTAGTTTTAGTTGACTAGCTTTGTTTTGTCTTCATAAGAAAGAAGCTTTCGTGTTGAGGACTGTTGTGTTTGTCTCTGTTCCTAATTCCTACTTCTGAAAATAAATAAAGTGAGTAGCAGAGAGATGGGAGACCTGAGGATATAAAAATCATAAGGTCAGAGTGTTTTTGAACATACAGAATTCTTATGACTACATTTAACATTAACATATTTGTATGCGGGGGAGAATATATAAGAATTTGGCCATGTGCGGTGGCTCACACCTGTAACCCCAGCACTTTGGAAGGCCGAGAGAGGTGGATCATCTGAGGTCAGGAGTTTGAGACCAGCCTGACCAACAAGGTGAAAAACCATCTCAACAAAAAAATACAAAAATTAGCCGGGCGTGGTGGCGCATGCCTGTAGTCCCAGCTACTTGGTAGGCTGAGGCAGGAAAACCTCTTGAACCCAGGAGGCAGAGGTTGCAGTCAGTCAAGATTGTGCCACTGCACTCCAACCTGGGTGACAGAGCGAGACTCTGTCTCAAAAAAAAAAAAAAAAAAAGAATTTGACACAGTCAAGAACACATTTGAGTAACTGTACCAGTTTTGGTGTTAGAGTTAGCTTTGGCTAACTGGCAACTGTAAGAAGTACTCCTCCAATTTTGGTGCCTTCACATTTTAAAAACTTTATTTTCCACCTATGTAAAAGTCCAATCTGGGTTTTTAGATGGTGTCGCATTTCTCCACATCATGAATCAAGGATCCAGACACATTCCATATTACAGCTATGTCTTCTCCTAGGAGGGATGAGACTAGTAAGAAGACGTTTCAGCTTCTCAGAGGTCTTGCTCCCCAAATCACACATTCACTCTGCTCACATTCCATTGCAAGAACTCATCACATGGCACAAGTAACTGGAAGAAAAGAAAAAAATTTTGGACAACAGCTAGCAGTCCTGCCATAAATATTTAAGAATTTTTAAATATTATTTATGACCAGGGTCACTCTTAGCTTACAGAGTACTTTTGCACAAAGCAGAAAAAAATATATAGCCTTGCAGGAGCAAGGTACAATAAATACAGCAC